TGACTCAGTAGTAAGGTTTGCATCATCCACAGTCTGGAGGCCAACTGGCTGCAGTTTAGTTCTAGGCATCAAACCACAGGAAAAAAGACCATCTCTTCTTCAGGCACTGTAAATCTTAGACATTTTTAGAAAAAGCTTATGACAGACATCCCATTTACCTCTTTTGAGTTTAGGTAATTCCTAAGCTAATCTCTGGCAAAGTCAGTAGAATTTCCCTCACATCACTCAGGACCAGCCTGGAGCTTCTGATAAAATCAGCTTCTCTGGAAGCAGAGGGCTAAGAAACAGATGAATGGGGAACAAAATTAGCATCTGCTAGGTGAAGAGTGAAATACATGCTGAGTAAAGATATAACAGTGCTCACCAGAGAATAACAGGTGGGCATATCTACAATGTAGGAACAGGACTCACTTGAAAGAATGCTGAGTGGAAGTCCTCATATTAGACAATAGAAGTTACTTCATAAATGTCTTTAAAACATATGTCAACATCTGACATTTTAGGGTGGCAATACAATAAATGCCTTTTCATCATTTATTAAAAGTTAATTAACTTGAATGCCAGAAGATTATCATTTATAAAAGATGTAAAAACTGCAATAACAGCATATTAGTTTTAGTAATAATTCATTCACCAAATTCGTAACAAATTCACGAGCATGTGCTATATGCTGGATAGCATTCTAGGTACTGGCATACCAACATAGATTAATCATTGTATGTATTGATGGTTGGGGGAAGATAGATGAAAATTACTATAATATATTTCTTCTTATACTGTACAATAGTATGGAAGGATAGCCTAATATACTTGATTCAGGCTAATGGATGTGTGTATACAGTTATAAAGAGAAATTGTTAATAAATATAAGAAATAAATGTATGCCTACTCTCATCTCAGCAGTAGTAGATTGGAGAATCTTTATTGTTGACCCCATTATGTATAAATGATTTCATCAGTCTAAGTATTGTAAACTTTATACTCCAGTTGAAAATGGAATTGCATAAAGACATGGATCAGTAGCAGGGCTAGTTCCCCAAGTGCAACTCTAACAAGACCAGTGTAAATGACAGTTAGCTAACTACAAGCTGTATTTGCTGAAGATTTAACAGACAACGCTCTCAAAAGAATACTCCAATAATTTAAACATGGAGCTCAATGCTTAGTTAGAAATTAATAATAGTAAATCATATACCTTGTAGTAAGTACTTAGTTTACAAATAAAGTCTTAATTATCAGAAAGCCTGGAATTAGGTGTTGTTATTGTTATCACTGCTTTTTACAGATTGGGAAACTGAAACTCAAAGGACGTTAAGCAATTTGCCCAGGTATATAAGCAATGACAGATGAAAGATCTGAACCCAGACTCTTCTGTCTCCAAAGCCTATGCTTTTTAATCATTCAACTTACGTTTTTCAAAATGTGGTCTATGGTCAGTACATCAATAGCATTTGGGATACTTGTTAAAAATGCAAACTCTTTAGTCCCATCTGGGCCCACCGAATTAGAATATTTGAGATGGAGCCAAAAGTTGTGCTTTTCACTGGGATTTTTGCCTACTGTCTGTTAACACATTGCTGAGCTACTCTGCCTTATGAAATTTAAGAGACCATTATGGAAAAAAGATTAAAATCTTACTAGTAAGCACACATGAACAAACACTCTGAAGTTTATCTTACCTGGAAGCTTTCATTATGTAGATAGGAAAATCCACCGACTTAAAGATTAGAACCAAAGTTGTACATCACAATCCCAAAATTACAACAGGTGGGAGTACCTGCTGATAGCTGAGACTCCTGGAGCTTTTCTTCTCCTCTTGACTCCAATAGGCTCTATAAATTTGGACAAGTCACTTTTTATCCCTGGATATTAGTTTCTTTACTGTTAGCTTCTGGTGCACTAATCTGTCCCTCTTAAGAATGATACTGAGATCCACTCAAGAAAAGAACTTTCCCAGAGCATACAGCTCAACCAAATGCCTCCAGCATTTCTAGCTCACAACAAAGAAATGTCCACCAAGGAAAGGTAACATAACATCACTTCTCACTTGTTTATTCAAATGCCCTTGCATTTTCTTATTATTATTTTCTACCATCACAAAATTCTTCCAGGAGCAAAACTGGATATAACAAATAAATAAATGTCCTTGTTTCTTTCAGATAGCAAGAAAAGTAACAGGTTCAATAAAGTTTCTTCAAATAATTAAGGTGATAGAGGTAGAAGAGAACTAATAAAAACTTATTTAACCCTCTCTAATTTTTGTAGGTGATAAAACAAGCCAGTGGCTGGAGCAGGTGAAATACTCCAATGTTACTGCATGATACAGCTAGGCTCTGTTTCCCCACCCAAATTTCATCTTGAATTGTAATCTTCACAATCCTCGCAGTTGAGGGAGGAACCAGGTAGGAGGTGACTGGATCATGAGTGATTTCCTCCATGCTGTTCTCAAGATGGTGAGTGAGTTCTCACAAGATCTGATGGTTTTCTAAGGCAGTTTTTTCTGCTGTTGCTTATGCTCTCTCTCTCTCTCTCCTGCTCTCTCGCTCTCTCTCTCTCTCTCTCTCTCTCTCTCTCTCTCTCTCTCTCATCTTCCACCATGTAAGACATGCCTGCTTCCCCTTCCACCACAATTGTGAGTTCCCTGAGGCCTACCTAGCCATGCGGAACTATAAGTCAATTAAACCTGCTTTGTTTATAAATCACCCAGTTGCGGATAGTATCTTTCTAGCAATGTAAAGAAAGATTAATACACTGTCCTACATCAGATGAATGCTTAGGCCTCCTGGTCTCTGCTTCCTCAAAACAAAGTGCTGCTATTGCCGCTGCTCTTCATCCATGGTTCCATGGCAGGGCAGGACAGGGGAGTATTTTTCAAATTTTGGGACCCCCTGCCTTACCAACCTAGAAGAAGATTGAATTGGTTTTAGATTATGTTGAGTCATACAGTGGAAAACTAAATTCTTACTAATTCGTTTTTGATCCTTTTACTTCCTTCAAAGAGAAAGTCTCAGAATGGTGCTAATATAGCCTTAGGACCTCCACAGATTGATGACCTCCCTTTTTAAGAAATTGAGAGCAATCAGTTCATTTTATTGTATGTATTCTTATAATTACCTTCTCTTTATGGCAACTGATACAAGATTTCTGAATATGATAATGATATGAACTTTTCTTCTAAAATAAATCGAGTCAAAGAAAAATATTAAGCAAATGACAGTACATGTAACATGAGTTTCTGAAATCTTGAAAATGGTACAAGAATGATTAAAGTATGGCAGAAATTGACAGAAAAGTTTAGACACAGGCTTTGGAGTCAAACACACTTGGTTTTCTAACCCAACTTCTAGATGTTAAGATTTGAGGTAGTTTCTATAGTCCTTCAGGGATGCACTTTCACAACTGGCAAAAGTGGCAAATTAGAAGCGTCTATCCATGGTTGGGTATGAGGGTTAGTATAGTGATAATTGTTAGTCTTCTTCTGTAGTGCGTGGTACATAGGAGGAGTTCAGTAAGTACTGTTACCTTATCATCAGCGGCAGCACTAACATCACCTTGGCCATGAAATCTTCTAAGATCACAGATTGTTAAATCTGGGGAATTTTTTTTAAATCACTAAAGTGCATCTAATCTAAACTTTCCCAGGTCCAACTGCTCAAGGCTTAAATTTCCCCTAGAAGTATTTTTAATTTGTGGTTTATGACTGACTATATGTTTTAATGCTTTATTAATCTCTAGCTAAAGTTTATCCCACTCATTAAAGATGATAGTGGCAGTAGTATACGCAGTATAAGGAGTCCCCTCACTCTGTCACCAATAGATATTTCACATTATATTTTTAAAAATATGGTTTATAATTTTCACTATTTAAAAATCACGAGGCAATTACTAGGGGGGACTATAATCAACAGATTAAAGAACAAGCAAATGCGTGACTAGATCACAAATTTGCAATACTTTGATAACTGTGTTTCAATATGTTGGTTTCTTTGTAATCATATGAATTATGTTATCCATTTATAAGTGTTCTGAGAAGCAAACTAGAGGTGTCATCCCACCACCACAGGTGTCCTTGGCACATACACAAAACATTTAAAGACCCCTGCTGTACAGCCTTGCCACAATGTGGCCCTGTAGACTGCTTGTATACCTAAGAAGATTTCCCGTCTTTAAAGACAATCAGTAATTCCACATCTGCCTGTATGAGTTTTTAAAACAGTAGACAACGGATTCCACTTGGTGGTAATGGAAGCAGGAACCACTGTGCTAAACCACACTTCGAAACAAAAAGAAAGGAAACTAATTATGACACTCACTTTGCAAAATATCTGAGTTACCAGCCAAGAGAAATACTGAAAGAGCCAGTCAAATTTCCAATATTTAAATTACCTAGAAAATAAATATAGCAGGTTTGTATTCAGTTTCAGAGTGTATTCTATCTATAGACTACTTTCTTATTTATTTAAGACAGAAGCTACATATTGTTGCATTGTTCACTAATTACTTGCCTTGCTAAACAAAGGGGTATGAAAAAAGGATCAATTTGCAATCATTTCAACCAATCCGTCTGCTCTAGAGAGACATGTAAATAATTAAATCAAAATTTAACTTGTTCCAAATTATTCTATTTATAGAAATGAATCATCACTCAAAATATATCTGTGATATGTGCAGTAGTTCATAAATTGGGCAGCAAGTATTTTTATCTTCTTAGAAGTAGGAGAGTTATCTAACTTACGACACATCAACAGACCAGAGAGATTAAGTCAGTGGCAGAGCAATGTGCAGATCCAGGGCAGTCTTGCTTCCAATGTAATGCTCTCCCCAGCATTCAGGGCCAGAGAGAAAGAGAGAAGGAATTTAGGATGATGGGTAGACAGAGAAAGGAAAAGAGATGGTTTTCCAGGATTTTTCCTTAGTTCAGCTGAAGACAGGGTTCTTGTCCATCCCACAGCCACGAAAATTTAGACTCATAGAAAGTTTAAAGAATGAATAAAGCAGGGTTTTATTGGATGCAAAGGAAACAAGGAGAAACAGGGACTCTTGCAAGGCCAGAGTCCCTCCTCTAGAGCACTTCTCACCAGACAGTTTGAATTCCAGGTGCCACATGCAAGAGGTGGGGCCGGGATCCTCAGTGCTGCAAAGGACATAAACTTCCCAAGGCTCCACCTCAGTGGGCAGGTTGGTCAGAGTTTCTCCAGGGACTCCCTCTCACCTGGCTGTCTCATTCCCCCATCTAAAGAAGTACATCTACCTGCCATTAGACTAAGGATAAAGATGAAGATGGATCTTAACTGTTTCCTGCTAACAGGGGGTACTGTTTTGGGGAAACAGCAGTCAGATCTCCCTCAGAGACCAATGTAAGAGTTCCTGGAGAAGGGGCCATCATCAGAGGCTCTGGTCGCATGACTATTTGGAGTCTGATGGCCTGAAGGCAAGAACAGACAAACAGGGTTATTAGAAAACATGTATCAAAATGTAACAAGGAGAGAGGTAAGGACAGCTCGAAATTCTGAGGCCTTTTACTGATTTGCATAAGGGGAGGGAGGCCAATACCCTAAGTGGCAAATAATTTTACCCTTTGGCCAGCTTGTTGGGCTTCTGTGTTCCCTTCTCCTCAGCCCAGTTCTAAGCGAACCACTTTAAGATTTGGGAAATTAACTCTTTACAGTTTGGAGGATGCATTTGCAGAGAGAGTCCCATCATAGGCACAATTACCCAAAGTACTGACTGAAAAAAGGGCTGAGGAGGAGAAAGGTGAAAGAAGGTGCTTCTCAAAGGAGTCCCAGGGGTTCAGATTTGAAAAGGGTACAGACTGAAGATGGCTACCCATCTAGAAAGAGGAGAGCAGGCATCCCTGGTTCCCTTCTCTTTCTAGCAGATACCTGGGGTACATACATTAGGGAAAGAGGGAAAAGTGTCCTCTTTCCGTCTTCCTTCCTAGCTTCCCCAAGTCCCAGGAATGTCGGGAGGCATCACCATAAGTGCCAAAGCAGCTTGCACCCATGAATCATGAAGGGCCTGGAGAATAGAAATTATCTTTCCCACCTACTGCCAGTAGCCTTGGGGTTCCCTAGACCTCATACCATGAACACCAATGTGGCCTTTATCCATGAAACAGGAAGCTTGGGGTTGGCTTAATCGGCAGGAATCAGCCATGTTCACCAGTACTGTGCCTTTTAACCTCTGTATCAGCTGCCTCTGGACCCCTCAGATCCAGTTTTTTACCTAGGGCTTTGAGTCAAAGCTTGGAATTGAGCCTGGGACAAGAATGTGTCCCAGGGCAGGAGGTTTGCATGATCTCCTTATAAGCCAAATGCTAAGGTGAAACTGTGGAACCGAGTCCTCCTCCAACAAGGGAGAGTGAAGAATGTCTTGTGATACAACCAGATAACTGGTAGTTACAGTTATACTTACTAGGATTTGGGTGCATGGTGCTTGGCTTTGGTTAGTTCCCTTGGTCTTACTTTCCCAGAGAAAACCTCCAAGTGATAGACATGTTATTTATTCTCACCACCAGGCAGGATTTTCAGGGTAATTGCTCAGAACTAGAATATTAATTCAGATTTTTACATTACCCATCCCTCTTGTCCCCCTTCTGAGCCGCAGCTGGAGACTCCTAGTTGGTTCATAGGAACCAGCAAGGTTAGTCTAAAATGTAGGCTAAAAATTTAAACAACTAGTGAGTTTAGAATTTAATGACAAATAAATAAGTTTTGAAACATAATTTCTCCCCAGTTCTCATTTTTGTCAAAAAAACTATAACAAGAACTGAGTGGTTTGCAAAACAGACTTCAGTCTTATGCTTGGCCTGATTATTTGCATAAAGTGCAGCAAGAATAATTATTTCTACATATGCCTTTTGGATTGGCTTTGAAGGAATTTTGTTCCACAAGGAATCTCAGATAAAACCTTTTAAAGCTGAGCCCAACCATGGGTTTGCATCCTCAAACACCTGTGAGTTTGGTGAGTCTCTCCTCTTAAGGTCCCAAGATAAATTTGGAGCTCCTAGCCCTGTTAGAAAGTGGAATTCTTTACTGACCATAGGTCAGGAACCCTGTACAGGGACTGCATAGGCAAGGGTATGAGGCCAGTTTCCCCACTGGGCTTTTATTGGCTTTGCAAGTTGAGATTCACTCCTTAAAGGGAAGCATGCCTTTCCAGCCAAAGCCTTGCTAAAATTACCAGTTTCTCTAATTGTGTCCTGTTGCAAAAGAAAATTGGAATCTTACTGCACTGATGCAAACAACTATATTGCCATAAGTTAAAAACACTCACAGATAGGTCAGAAATTTTAGAGGAACCAGGCAGAGAGAAACAAATATTGCTCTAAATTTTGTTCACAGAAGTATAACTTACTGAATTATTAAAGGCTGTAAATAGTTCAAAATAAGTTTCCTTCACTCTGAAAAACAAAACAAGGATCAGCAATATTCCAAGCAAAAGTCAAAAAGTTTTTTTCAGCTTCCTGAGTTCAGTCCATTTAGTTGTCTTGTTTTGCTTGATATTTGTAAACATTTTAGCTCTTCATGAGCCCTGTGCATCTTTTTACTCAAGTGTCACAATCCCCAAAGTTATCAGAAGCCTGTATTTCACAGCATCTGTTGTAGTTCTATAGCTCATTTTAAACCATCGTTTGAAAATCATTAAAGCAAGACAACAATTTTCTGTGAATAGCAAAATGTCCAGGGGGGTTACAGTTAGAAATACAATTAACAAAAAAGTTTGGTTATCTCTATGGTTTACAATAATTTAACATGATAACCTTAATTATAATTAGATAGCACATACTCAGACATTAGAATTTTAGAAATTCCATAAAATTGGAACATATAGCAACATCATTCATAAAAATAGAGGCCGGGCGCGGTGGCTCAAGACTGTAATCCCAGCACTTTGGGAGGCCGAGGCGGGTGGATCACGAGGTAGAGAGATCGAGACCAACCTGGTCAACATGGTGAAACCCCGTCTCTACTAAAAATACAAAAAATTAGCTGGGCATGGTGGCGTGTGCCTGTAATCCCAGCTACTCAGGAGGCTGAGGCAGGAGAATTGCCTGAACCCAGGAGGCGGAGGTTGCGGTGAGCCGAGATTGTGCCATTGCACTCCAGCCTGGGTAACAAGAGTGAAACTCGGTCTCAAAAAAAAAAAAAAAAATATATATATATATATATATATATATATATATATATATATATATAACCTAAAGAAGACTGAACATTATTTTTCTAACCCCTAAACATGTCTGTCAGGGTCACCACCTGCAGAGGGCTCTATCCTGCAGACCCTGACTCAGTGACAGATGAATAAAGTACATTGACACGCAGGCAGCCTTGGCCTTGCCCTCTCTCAAACCACTCCCCAACAGAGTAGAGGCATCATTTTCCTAATGGAAGATCTGACCATGCCACTTTGAGGCAAAATAGAATTCAAAGCTTTGGGGCTAAGATGGACTTTAAAATCCATCTTGGTCTGACTACTGCTTATTTCTGGTATACTAAACCAGGCTTCTACCAGCTTTTCAGAAACAATTGTTAAATAGGTAGAAATTCTGCAAGTCAGTTGATAAACTGTTGGTAACTTGAATTTGGTCATGGTGGAAATACTGATCGGAAACTGGCATGAAAAATATATACAAAGCTGTTTTTTTAAGAACAGATTTACCAATACACCACTGATTCATCATTTAACCACACATCTAACCTCATCCTCCCACTTCTTCTCAATCTTGCTGAACTGCTTTCTGTTCTTCAATAAATTGTGCTATTGCTTTGCCGAGAACACAACTTTCCTTTTTCTCTGTCCCTTGCCATACTCTCAATAATCTTCCTAGTTGCAGTTTCTTTGTTAAATATTAAATATTTCTTCCTGACATACGTTGCCTTCTAACCCTTCTCCCTTAATGCCTAAGTGAAAAGTTTCACTTATTCCCTCAGATGGCACACCATGCTTTCTACTGTTGAGACAGTGCTGGCTTTGCCCTATTTCTTTTTAGCTTGTGTAACTAAACTTATTAGCTACACTGAATGCAAGAACTCCATCTTTTCTTTATTGTAATTCCATTCTTTATCATGTGTCTGACATCTAGTAAATACTCAATATTTGTTAAGTAAGATAAATGACTAGAGTTAAAATCTCTAAAAAATGAGACTTTTTACTTATTCATTTTTAGAGGTAGAGCCCCAAGAATTGAGAAAATTATTATTAGACCAGAGAAAAAATCCTTGAAAGAAATAAAAGAAAAAACCAGGGTCTTAAGAGAGAGTGTTGTCAGTTTATTTCTGGTTCTAGCCCAAGGATGACAAGTATCTGTCCAGACAGCACTGCCCCTTGCCAAAGGCATGAGAAGCTTCCCTGCTTAATCTCTGACCCCTTTTCCACTGAGCCTAGGCGATTCCTCTACGTCAGGGCCAATGCTATTAACCAACCTGGAATTCACGTTGAAACTCATCTGCCAACCTGGAGGAGGTCATGAGACACAATGACTACTGCCTTCCTGCCAGAGGCTTCTCTGCCCTACTTTAGTGTCTTACCCGCCTACTCTTTTTGGTCAGGTTTGAAACTGAAAGAAGTGAAGAAAAGGAAGAGGAAATGAGGAAGCCGTGTGGGAGGAGTAGTTAAAAGAGGTGGCTGGGGAGGCCACTCATAAACTGTTCTCACATTCCATCTCCTCCCCTTTCTTTCCTTGAGATTTTTCTTCTGGGTCGCATTCTCTCTGCAGTTATTCTCCACCTGCCTATCTCACTGCCTGTTTTTGACTGTTTTTCCATCCATTTCCCTCTGCAGCAGCTTCCCGTTTCCTCTCTACTCCTTTTCCTGGTCCCTCTGTCTTCCCTTGTCTATTGCTGTCCTCTTTTTTTCCCCAACTTCTCCTTTTTTACATTTCCTCTTCCCTTTTAACAGATTCCACTTTCTCTCTCTGATTTTTTTTCAGTCTTTTCTATCTCATTTTTCTCTATTATCTCTCAAGTAAATTCTAGAATTCCTTTGTTTTGAACACTGTTTTCCTCTACCCCTTCCTCTGATCCTACTTATCTTTCAAGTTTCAGTTTCCATGTCACTTTTTTCCTGACATCCATCTCCCTCTAACTTGCAATTTCCAAAAGGGAAGGAAGAACTATTTTAGAGCACTTGTATTTTCTGATGGAATTTTTAATTAAGTATCAAAGCATTTATTTCATCTGAAGGCAATAGATTATTTTAAAAAAACATTGTATTACATACATATTAATATTACCTTAAAATTATTTTATGTCTGGTTTTACAAATCTTACATTCCTTCTAAATAATTTTATCAAATATAGCAGATGACAATGGCATTTTTAAAAATCTTGTCCTTTCTTGTTATGGTGACTACTATGTATACATTGTTTAATAATTACTCAAGTTCTAAAGCCTATGCTTTTCCTGTCCAGTCCTACACTTAATCTGATTTCTAAAAGCAATTCATGGGAAGCTTCATTTTTAAATGAGCATAGGCTGATTAGAGCATTTAGATTTTTATCACCTACTTAATGAACATGGAATGCAGGTAGGTCTTGAACAGAAAATTATGCATGCCTTCCTAAAGCCCTTTGCATGTCCTCCTTAATGCATGCCTGAATCTTCTCTTTTATTAACTTAGAAATATTAAAAGGTAATGATGGTTCTTAAAAATGTGAAAAACACAAATTCTCATTTGTGTTCAGGTAAGCATTGGCATTAGGAAGAGGCAGCCGGTCAATCATAGCGAAGTCTTTTACAGAGGTTGGTGGGAAGGTTGGTTAACCTCATCTTTAGCAGGAAGCCATCAGTGTTTCCTCAAAGTCTGTCACTCCAGTGGTTGACCAAATGCAAAAACCAGCTTAGAACCAATAAACAAAACAAAGGAAACTCAGAAAATCTTTTAAGAGAAGCTCTAAGTACCAGACCAGAAAAACGTGGAGACACATTCCACAGAGAACATCGTTTCTTCCCCCCAAATTTACTGATTGTCAGCCATAGAAGAGGAATTAGGGTGTATTAAATCCAAATCCACCATTTTACTGAGAGACAGTGTGCTTATAACTAAGAACATTAGACATAAAGATAAATGGATTTGGGTGGGTTTAAGTTGTCATTTTGAAACTCACTAGCTGTGCTCTAAGTTAATAATTAGTACCTGCTGTTGGGCTGCTATGAGCATTAAATAAATGAGATTACAAAATTATGACAACACAGGTAATGTTCAATAAATATTTACTATGAGTTCCAGAGAGAGAAAGATTTCCTGAAGTCACATACTTGGCCTGGAGCAGGATTAAGATGAGGCCACCATCAACTTCATATTCATGCCAATGCTCTTTCAACTCATTGAAACAATCAAATTATGCCTCATGAGTCAAATCTGGACTGCTGTCTGTTTTTGTAAACAGAGTTCTATTAAAACACAGCCATAGTCATTCATCTATGTATTGTCTATGGTTGCTTCAGTACCAGGACAGCAGAGTTGATAAGTTAGAATCTGTAGAACCAAACATATTTACTAAATGGCCCTTTACAAACAAGTTTTCTGACCCCTATGATTAGGGCATGAGGCTACTTGTAGACAAAGCATTCCACATCTAGATCCCTCAGAGAGACTGAATAAGCTTTTATCATAATACTTTCTGTGACTTTGGGGGTCTTACTCAAAAGGCAAAAATTGCCTGATAATATCTGATCTTTCTGGATATTAGCTTTGGAAGTTTGAAACAAAAAGAAAACCAAAACACCTTCCATAGCAGAAGAGTATTCTGTTTCCAGTAAAGAATACATCTCAGATGCAGCAGAATGTCCAGAGCTACTTCTTCTCAATAAAACCTTGCACTCATTCTCCAAGCCCACACGTGATTTGATTATTTTGGTACACCAAGGCAAGAAACCCCAGGATATAGAAATCATTCTGTCCCTGTGATAAGGAAGGGGGTTTAATTGAGCTGCTTACCACAAGCTACCTCCAGATGGCAAGCTAACAGAGCACTTCATAACACACACCCACTGGGGCTTCAGGAGCAATAAACATTCACCCCTAGGCACTGCCATGGGGTCAGAGCCCCACAGCCTTCCCACCTGCATGCTCCCCTGGAGTTTTGAGCAGGAGGGCACTGAAGAAGCCAGCCACACCCCCATCACACTCCCTGTGAGAGGAACGAGAGAACCTTTCCTGTTTCACTACCTGGAAACGTGCTCCTAATAGACATTGGGAAGAAATTGTGAATTTGTCTGGTAAAACATGATGATCTATAATGGGGGCACATTGTTTATAAAAGATGACTGTAGTTGAAACTTTCAATTATACCCTCCTCCCCACTCACCCACTCCTCCTCTGTTGTCATATTCTGCAGGGCTAATGGGCTGATTCCTCATGTTTGGTTACCCAGTCCATAGATATGCAGTCAACATATTTATATCTGTATGTCCACTAAACTACAAATTTGTTGGAAACAGATGCTCAGTGCCATAAAGAAAAATCACAACTGAAACAAAGGCTCTCTCTGCAAGGCAATTTTACTTTCTGCAGAAAGGGTACTACTTGCCAGCAGTCCTGCCATGAGGGTACAATGACCAAAGGAAAGGCAGGCATATTTACACATTGGGTTCTTACTGCTGTGTCTGATCTCCACTGATTGGAGTTGAACCTCACAATCTAAACTAAAACCAGATTGGGTAACAACTTAAAACTTTTCCAAATAGGTAAAGGCAATGGAGAACGAAGGAAAAGAGGAAATCCAAATAAGAAAGAGAGAGAAAGTTGCTTGCAAAAGGACTTAGAAAAGTAATAACATAAATATCTTGGTTAAAGGACATAGAATATACTTATTCCTTTATATCTAGCAGCTGCATAGAGTAGGACTTTACAAATAATTGCTAGTGAAAAGCAAGAAGTCTTTGAAGAAAGTTAGTCTTTAAAGGAAACAATTACTTCTAACATTCATTATTATTATTCTTTAAGAGGAAGGGAAACTTTGAACAGGAACTTTTTGCTTTCTACAATCCCAGTAAGAGACAATAGGATGGTGTGGACATGGTGAGAAGTAGGGAAGAAATATCTACTTTGGGTGCTATGAGCTTTGTTGGTGTCCTGGTCAGTACCACAAGTCCTGAGGTTATTTGTTTAGTTTTGTCAAACCTTTATTTGCAGCTACCTTGAAGTTGGCTGTAGAAGCCACAGAGTAATAACTTTTTCCTCTAGATTAAAATTGTCTCAGGCAGTAAAAATTTTGAGGTTCCATTTCAAGCAATTAAATTTAGTTTGCAAATTTGTTGTTCCATTTTAGGTTGACTACATTTTAAAAATCACTTTTAAATAGCCTCTGAAAATTTTTGGTATCTTTTTAAGACTTACTCGATTAGATGCCCTAAACCTTTTAAAACTACATTTATAAACAATTTTCTTTTCAAGTATTCAAGTATTATTAAATGAATAATCATTTTTCAAGTACTAATGAATTTTTATAAATTTAATAAAAATTGACAAAATTATCTTAGATATCACTATACTGATACATTGCAACATCTCAAAGGTGTCAGTATAAACCAATTGACTAATTATTTAAATGTATTTACAAAGTTGTTACTTCAATTAACCAAATTTCCTTGCATGTTATAAATATATGAAAAAACAAATAATCATGGGAACTATCTTTCTTGTTCAGATAGAATTGACACACCAAAAGCTGCACATTTTTCAAATGTATAATTTCTTTTTCTTTTTTGAGATGGAGTTTTGCTCTTGTTACCCAGGCTGGAGTGCAATGTCGCGATCTCGGATCACTGCAACCTCCGCCTCCTGGTTGCAGGCAATTCTCCTGCCTCAGCCTCCTGAGTAGCTGGGATTACAGGCACGTGCCACCATGCCCAGCTATTTTTTTGTATTTTTAGTAGAGACGGGGTTTCACCATGTTGACCAGGGTGGTCTCCATCTCTTGACCTCGTGATCCACCTGCCTCAGCCTCCCGAAGTGCTGGGAATACTTACAGGTGTGAGCCACCGCACCCGGCTTAAATGTATAATTTCACAATTTTAGACATGTATGTATATGTATATGTATAAAACCATCACCAGAACCATATGTTTATTGCCCAAAATATTTCTATGCCTCTCTGTAAAGAATTCTCAAAACTCAATAATAAGATCATGACAGCAAACTGAAAAGCAGTAAAAGATATGGATAGAAATTTGGCCCAAAATAAACAAATGACAAAGAAGCACATAAAAGATGCTCAACACTACTAGCAATTAGGAAAATGAAAACTGCAACCACAGTGAGATACTGTTACACACTTATTAGAATGGCTATGATCAGAAGACTAACTACACTGTGTGTTGAAGAGAATGTGGAGGAACTGGACCTCTCACATAAGAATGGGTCAGCTACTTAAGAAAAAAAATTGAGCCGTTTCTTTAAATAGTTAAACATATACCTACTATTTAATCCAGCCATTCTATTCCTAGATATTTACCCGGGAGCAACTAAAGCATATGTTCATATAAAAACTTGTACTAGAAAGCCTAAAGCAGTTTTATTGTAATAATGAAATAC